CTTTTTGACGTGGTGAACATGCATGATCCTTCTGCAAAACTGTTAAAACTCACCACCACTTCCATACCAGTGAAGACCACTGAGATGTGCTACAGCTATTATTTTCTCCTTTTACACTTTTCATGGCAACATCTTTACTTCTCGGAGTGATCAGAATAAAAAGAGCTCAATATTATCACCTTGTTTTTTGTTTGTTTTTTAATAAGAAAGCAAGGGAGAGCTTCAGGCCTGAACTGCTGCTGGCATCACAGAATCTTTTCCGATACATCAAACAGCCAGCCAAGCAATGGTCCTGTCCCATGTGCACTACAGCTACATCAAACCAAAACCAACAACCAATGTAAACAAATGACACCATTTACCCCTAATAAGTGTCTCTAGCAACTACCGAAATGATTGGTCACTGGACTTAGTTTTACATAATTTTAAAAGTGGCAATCTTAGTCTACAAACAGCGAAATTGACGGCTGCCAGCCTGGGTCAAACTGTAACCAGCCTCGAGCCAGAAAGCCTCGTCCTTGCCCATGCGCAATGAAAGAACTTGCCCTTCTTCCCAGTTCCGTGTGTGTTCCAGCTAGGGAAAATGTTACTGCTGTTGCTGGGTGTTTAAAGAGGCTCAACAGCCTCGTCTGCAAATGGAAAAAGGTTCAGAGCCATCTGAAAGCATTTGAATAACACCAACAGGCCGTAAAAAGAGGCCCAGTCATGGACATGATCTAAACTCCTAAGAGCTGCAGTCCAAAACTAAGTTCTAAAACATGGTTTTAAAATTCAGTAGAAAAAAATTTATTTGTACATTAGTCTCTATCGATGGCAAACGTGAAGTGGACATTTTATGATTCCAGCCTGATCTCTTTTTACTCTCTAAAATAACGGGGATGCGCACCGGTGGCAAGGTCTGCAGTTTGAATCCACTCCTAAGGAGAAAGAGGAGGCTTTCTGTTCCTGTAAGGAAATAGACGCTAGGAAGCCCTATACAGGGTCACTAGGAGTTGGAACAAACTCGAGGGCACTTCACAGCCAAAACAATACAGGGTGATTGTTAAATATGAATTGGAGCAAGTTTAAAGTGGCTTAGAGTCAGGCCACCTGCACTGAAACCCCACACCCATCCCTCGGGAGACTTACAAACCTTTTCAACCTTTTATTTCATCTCTATAACGGCTCCGATAATAGTTCTACGTCACGGAGTGATTCTGAGGGTTAAACAAAAGAACCCATATAAAGACTTAGCCTAGTACCTGGCACATTGTAAATGCTTGCTAAGTGACAGCAGTTGAGTTCACAGACTGTGGCCACTACTCCAGGCTCCGTGCTACACTACACCCGGTAGTTTCGGCTGTCAGTGAGGCTTCTCACCCACAAAATGTGACCTGTGGACTAGATCCAAATCAATCCAACTGATGTGGAGTGAGTTCTGACTCAGGGCGCTTGTGTGTTGGTGTGCAATTGTGGCCCATGGGGATCTTCATGTCTGACTGTTCACAAGCATGTCACCAGGACTTTTTCCCTAGGTGTCGCTAGGTGGCTATGCGCCTCCAATTATTTGGTTGGAAGTTGCACTCAGTAACTGTCTGCACACCTCAGAGACTCTGCACTACAGCAGTGCTTTTCAAATTGAGCTTTTGATGAGAACCAGGAATGGGACGAAAGAGCGCGGGCAGCAAGCACAGTGATCATGAGCTGCTAACTGTAAGGTCAGCCGCTCCGTGGGAGAAAGATGACGTTTACAGCCTTGGAAACCCTGTACCAGGTCACAATGAGTCAGAAGTGACTCGGGGGCCCATCACCACCACAACCACCAGGTGGGATGGAGGACAAGGAGCTGCTGGGCTCTTATTGGAACCTTTTTTGACCTTTCCAGGCAAGACCCTTCAATTCAATAAAAGGGTCTCTGATTTAAATAAACTTGAAACCACAGGCTTCTTTCCATTAGCTGTTATAGTCTATTATTCAGTGACACTAAGGAAACACATGATAAGCTAGAATACGCAGGCTTTAGGAATTGGGTTTTGCTGAAGGAAAAGAGCTGGCAAGATACCTGACTGATTCGTTTACTATTTTCACTGAGAAACAGAATTTATTATTATCCTGGGTTTTGGATAGCTAGCAATTATTTCTATCTTTGGGTAGGGCTAACTGGTTCACCCATAGGTTAAATGTTTTTCTATCTAGAAATAGATCATTAAAAGCCTTCCCTATTTCTTTGAGCTCTGGCAGTGGCCTCAAGTAAGTGAATTTTTGTAAACTGGCTGAAATAGCTTTCTGGGTTACAGAGTTCATCTCTAAGGCCCAAAGTGTTTCTTTTGGTACCAGGCCTGTTTCTCTACCCTGCCCCGCCAACGGCTTCCTTCAGGAGACGGCATTTGGAAGCACACATCTTCCAGCAGCCCAGGGCACTGCTATAGTATCAGCACCAGCCAGAGGCTGCGTTTCCCGTTGTTGGAACAAAATTGGGCAGAGATACACAGAAGACCCTCACCAACACCCTGAATCCTTAACACTCTCTGTTTCTCTTCACAAAGTATCTGTGCAAAGCGCCACACGCATACTCACCACCACCACACTCTTGGAGGCGTCCAGGACGTGGATCACTGGTGCGCTGTATCTCGGCGCTATTTTCACTGCTGTATGGGTTCTGCAAAGAGGGGCCAAGAAGAAAGATGTGTCCATCAGCAATGACAGTTCCCACACAGCCTTCTTCAGAACCCGTGGTGATAATGTGCTTCTACAAGGTTGCCCAGACAAAGAGTTCAAGGAACTTACAAATATTGAACCTCAAATGCCCCCTGTAAGACAAGAACAACTTTCTCCCCAGCCTGTTTAAAGATGGGGAAGTCAAAGTGACAAAGAATGAACTGATTGGTTCCAACTACCAAGATTCTATGGTCAATGAGAAAGAAGTTGTCCTGCATTTTTTTCAAGCTGGGGATTGATCCTGTACCCTTGCCTTGTTAACAGGAGCCTATCTGCCCTTAGAAGTTCTGGTGTGGTGCTATAGGGTAAGCACGGTACTGTTAACTACAAGGTCTACTGTTCAAACCTCACCAGTCGCTCCTTGGAAACCCTATACAAGGTCACTATGGGTCAGAACTGACTTGATGGGACTTAACAACAGCAGCATCTGAATTTAGGAAGATAACCCATCCCAGGCTTGGCTGTTGTAAACGTTGAACTGAGTTTCTTCCTCCACAAGAGCTGGGAGGGCAGCCAGGGATCCGGAGGCATCAGGAGCTAGGACAGAAGGAATTGCTGATGCGGGTCATGGCTCCCCAGACATTGCTTCCCTATCTGAGGGTGACTCCAACACACCTTGGCGCCATGGGAACTCTGGGCCAGAAATTCCACATGAAAACAACAGAGAGGAAAAAGCGACAAAAATATTTTATTCTAAGGCTAGTTCAGCCCCAAATCCTTATCGTCCAACTTGAAAGTGTCAGCACTGTGAGAGAAACAACATCCCTTAATCCTTAAAATGACATAATTAACTAGAGTGCAAAACAAATTGCCCTCTGATTACTGAAAGCTTATAGCAATAGTGAAGGCTACAGATCTGTTACTTCACTAAAAAACTTAACATATTTTGGTGAGAATTGAAAATGTATAAGCTTTCTCTTAAACCAGGGTAATAAGGCAAGAAAGGGAAATAAAAGGCATTCAAATTGGCAAAGAAGTAAAACAATTCCTATTTGCAGATGATATAATTCTATACATAAAAAATCCAAGAGACTCAACAAAAAAGCTACCTCATTCAATCTAGTGAAAATGTCAATACTACCAAATACTAGATATAATGCAATCCAGACCCAGATTCCATCAACATTCTTTAAAGAGATGGAAAAAGTAATCACCAATTTTATATGGAACGGAAAGACACCCTGGATAAGCAAAGCACTATTAAAGAAGAATAACCAAGTAGGAAGTCTTACATTCCAAATGTCAAAACCCACTAACCAGCTGTGGCGGTACCGATGAATGGAACAGAACTGGGAACCCAGAAGAACATGCACCATCCTAGGAGCAGCTGTTCTTTGACCAAGAGCCCAAACCCATGATATGGCCAAGTGACAACCTCTCAACAAACAGTGCTTGCAAACTAGGCTCAAGGAGGATCAAAGACCTAAATACAAAGCCTGTTGTTGTTAAGTGCTGGTGAGGTGGTTCCGACGCATAGTGACCCAGTATAGGGTTTCTGAGGAGTGAGTGGTGGTGAGCTTGAACTGCCGACCTTGCATTTCAAATCGACTTTGCAGTCCAGTGCATTAACCCACAGCGCCACACCAGGATAGCCATTGGAGAGATGCACACCGATATGATGTGTCATCATGTCACCCCAGCAATAACATCAAAGGTCTAAAACACAGAACACCACCACCATTGTGGAAGACAGTATGGTACTTCCTTAAAAAGCTGGAAATAGAAATCCCCTGTGATGTAGCAACCCCACTGTAAGGTATATATCCCAGAGAATTAGGAGCTGTGACATGAATGTGTACACCCATAATTATTACTGAAATTAGCAAAAAGGTGGACACAACCTTAATGCCCATCAACGGACAGATGGATCCACAAACTACAGTGCAAACACACAATGGTATGCTATGTTATGCAACATTAAAGAATAACAATGGATCCATGAAACACCTCACAACACAGATGAACCTGGGGACTTGATGCTCAGGAAAATAAGTCAATCACACCAAGAGAAATAGTTTATGAGACCAGTATTAAACAAAGGTTTTTGTAAAAAGTTTTATACACAGAGAGAAATATTTCTCAGGTGCCTATCAAGGATGGAGGGGCAGAGAGGGACGAGCTATAAGCAGAGGAGACATCTGTCAACTGAGGTGAAGGAAATGGCAGTAGAAAACAAGGGGGAAGTCAGCACGTTATCATCAAGGCAAAGGAAGACACTGGGATGTTCACTAGAGCCAAAGCCAACCAAGGTCAATGCTACTACATACAAGGGGGGCTTCAACAGATGATGGAATCTTTTCCATGAACTTCAGATGCCACCCATACACAATCCTACAACAGCAGTAATAACAAGTATTAACCTATGGGTGGACACTGAACCATTAGGGGAAGGTGACTGGGACCACACCCATCAGTATATACAAGTTTGGCAGAGAATATTCCTACATGTGTACTTGTCTGTCCTGAAAACATATCCATGTATACGGTAGAGCAGAGGGGTAAAGTTATAAAAACATCTTAGTCACATTCAAACACTTTGAGAGAATGAATCACTGGACTTAGGAACTTTGTTTGGACCACAGTCTTAGGGGACATCTAGATCAACAGGCATAATACAGTCCTCAGGAAACAAAGAAAATGCCGAAGTGGATGTCAGAAAAGAACTGGAAACTTGGTCTTGTGACTAAAGTGACTAGAAGAAATGCAGTAAAAGAACTGAACAGAAAATGTCAAAGGACAGCTAAAGAAAACAATGCAAAGTATTATAATGAAATATGCAAAGAAATGGAGTGAGAAAACAAAAAGGGAAGAACATGCATAGAATTTCTCAAGCTCAAAGAACTGAAGGAAAAAAAATTCAAGCTTCAACTTTCACTATTAGACGGGTCCATAGACAGAATCTTGAATGAACAAAAGAAGACAGAAGGAACACACAGCTACCGCACCAAAGAGAAATGGTAGATATTCAACCATTTTGAGAGCTAGCATATGATCAAGAATCAATGGTACTAAAGAAATTCACGATGCGCTGAAGGCACTGGTGAAAAGCAAGGCTCCAGGAATTGAAGGAACACCAGTTGAAATAGTTCAACAAATTGATTCGGTATTGGAAGCACTCACTAGTATATGCCAAGAAATGTGGATAACTGCTACCTGGTCAGTCAACTTGAAAAGAGACATATTTATGTGCTCATTCCAAAGAAAGGTGATTCGACATAATGTGGAAATGATCAAACAATATCATATACACATAAAATTTTGCTGAAGATAATTAAAAAATGGTTGCAGCAGTACATCGAGAGGGTGCTGCCAGAAGTTCAAGCCAGCTTCAGAAGAGGATGTGGAATAAGACTATCTTTTCTGACATCACATTGATTTTGGCTGAAAGCAGAGAAAACCCAAGAGATGTTTATTTGTGCTCTATTGATGCAAAGTCATTTAACTGTGAAGATCATAATAAACTATGGGTAACACTGCAGAGAATGGGAACTCCAGAACATTTATTGTGCTCATGTGGAACCTCTACATAGACCAAGAGACAGGAGTTTGAACAGAACAAGGGGATAGTGAATAGTTTCAAATCAGGAAATGTATGTGTCAGGGTTGTGTCCTTTCACCATACTAATTTTATCTGTGAAGCTGGATTATATGAAGAACAATGTGGCATCAGGATTGGAAGAAGGCTCATTAACAACCTGTGATATGCAGATGGCACAATCTTGCTTGTTCAAAGTGAACAGAACTTGAAGCACTTAATGATGAAGATCAAAGAATGTGGCCTTCAGTGTGGACTGCAACTTGATGTTTAAAAAAAAAAAAATCCTCAAAACTGAACCAGTAAGCAACATCATGAAAAATAAAAAAGACTGAAGTGTCAAGGATTTTACTTTACTGGGGTCCACTATCAATGTTCGTGGAAGCAGCAGTCAAGAAATTAAGCGACAGATTGTATTGGGCAAATCTGCTGCAGAAGACCACTTTAAAGTGTTAAAGAGCAAAGATGTCACTTTGAGAACCAGACCCAAGGCATGGTATTTTCAGTTGCCTCCATGTAGGTGAAAGCCAGACAATGAAAGAGGAAGACTGAAAAAGAATTGATGTCCTTGAATTATGGTGTTGGCGAAGAATATTGGTAAGAACAAGATAATCTTGTCTTGTAAGCAGTATAGTCAGAATGGTCCTTAGAAGTGAGAATGGTGACTTTGTCTCACGTATTTTGAATGGGACACCATGCTTGGCAAGGTACAAGATCAGACAAAAAGAAGAATCCCCTCAATGAGACGGACTGACACAGAGTGAGGATGGCACAAGACCTGGCAGCATTTCCTTCTGTCTGTGAAGCTGGATTATATGAAGAAGGTGGAAGCAAGACACTTAGGATACAATCTTGCTTGCTGGAAGTGAAGAGAACTTGAAGTACTTACTGATGAATATCAAAGACTATAGCCTTCATTATAAGAAAGACACCCAATGAGATGGATTGGCCAAGTGGCAGCATCGAGGTTGGCCCAGGATTGGGCAGTGTTTTGTTCTGCTGTGCATAAGGTTGCTATGGGTCGGTACCAACTCAATGGCACCTAACAACAACAACAACATATGGATTACAAATGAGTTTTGGTAGCATAATGGTTACGAGTTGGGCTGCTAACCTCAAGGTCAGCAGTTCGAGCTACCAGCCGTTCCACGGGAGAAAGATGAGGCTTTCTGCTCCCGTAAAGATTGACAGCCTCGGAAACCTAAACAGGGTCACTATGAGTCAGAACTGACTCCACAGCACACTACCACCACCACTACCACCTCCATATGGATTACAAAAGAAAACAAAAATCCTCACACGTGAACCATTAAATAACATCATGATAAACAGAAAACATTGAAACTGTCAAGGATTTCATTTTGCTTGGATCCACAATCAACCGTCATGGCAACAGCAGTCATGAAATCAAATGACATATTGCATTATGCAAAAAATGTTGCCAAAGAAGTCTGAAAAGGCAAGGTAAGGGCTAGAGGGTAGATGGGACAATGTTTCCTAATGAAATGCTTGTAGATCAGCTCTTGTTACACTCAAAGAAAGTGCAGGGTCATGGTCATGATGGGACAAAAAATCTTGAAGCAATATTCCTGGCCTTTTACTCACCAATGCAGTTTTCCCTTTTCTTAAACTGTCTTCCTTTCATTGTCCTGTGACCTTCCACAAAATCTAGCAAGATTACCTCCTTTGGAATGGCAAAAAACAGTTATCATAAGCTTCTAAGCTGACCTCTTGGCTTGAATTGGACTGATCCAATTCACAAGTCACTGTTTTGATTGGATCTTTGTTTTGAAGGCACCCTAACGAGAAAATGACAGTGTATCACCGCAGAGACACGCACAGACGAACTGGAAGCCTACTAGTGATACTTGTTGACTGATTTGCTGGTCTTAATCTATGGTGTCCTGATCTTCTTACACTTCTGAGGGTAGTGGCCCATCATATAAAAGTATAGTTACTCTGAAACCAGTGTCATATTTAACAGAATTCATAATGCAGTTCACTGCATCTGCTCACTTGCCTATTCATTCATTCTATTTAAAACTGCGATTTAAAAATGTCTTTCACACCGATAATAATTCAATGAGTTTTTTATCACTCTTTCCCAATTGAATTAATATTCACTTCATACTCATGAGCTACTCAAGACCAAGTTTATCAAAACCCCAGTGATGGACGGTTGGTCATATCTCTTGAGAACAGTTCTGGCACATTTCTTAGTGGGCAACTCTTTCCTGAAAGAAAGCATGAGCAACAACAGCCAAACTACCGAGTCCTTCAAGTAAGAGCAGCAGCCAGTGGATAAACTCCCCAGGACATTGTGGCCGCTCCTGAAGATGATCCACTGATACTGGAGATGGCTTAACAGACAGACTTGTTGACAGTGTCAAAGGAACTCTGGAGGACTTGTGACCAGATCGCTGCTGTATTTCTGCTTCATGCATGTGTGTGGTACCATAAAGGCCAGGTTGGTGTTGTTCTCCACCAAAGAGAACTCTGTGCAACATAAAAGCATGTGTCATAAACAGCCTCGTATGTACAATGCACCCATTTCCCCCAAATATCACCATGATCATCGCCCTAGGAAGAAGCAAACAAAATGAGCAATGATCATGAGACCAGCGTAGAACGTTCCCCTTTCAAAACAACTTCCCAAATAGAATCTTTAGTTCATTCTAAGTAGCTTAGCTTTCTGTCTCTAAACAATTACAAGGCCTGAGTATATCAAGGGAATCAATTATTCAATCAGACACTGGTTTCAATAGATGGGACAGGCAAAAGTGACAGCAAAGTCCTTGTGTAAACAGCATTACTTCTTCATCTAGTGTACTTCCAGAGAGACAAGGGGGTTTTGGAAATCTCAAGAACTAAAAAGGAGGTGAGAGAATAAACAAAAAGATAGCTGCAAAATCAAAAGATTACAAAACAACAACAACAAAACAAAGCCAGCAAGGAGTAAGAGAATCAGACAGAAAGATATTTACCCATGCTTTATTGACTACGCAAAGGGTTTCAACTGTATGGATCATGGCAAGTTATGGACAACATTGCAGACAATGAGTATTCCTGAACACTGATTTGTGCTTATGAGGAATCTGTACATAGACTAAGAGGCAGTTATTCAAACAGAACAAGGGAACGTCAAATGGCTTAAAATTGGGAAAGGTGTGCACCAGGGTTGTATTCTTTCACCGTGCTTATTTAACCTGTATGCTGAGCACATTGTTTGAGAAGCTGGATTATCAGAAGAAAAATGTAGCATCAGGATTGGAGCAAGACTCATTAACAACCTGCGATATGCAGATGATACAACCTAGCTTGCTGAAAGTGAAGAGGACTTAAAACACTTACTGAGGTAGATCAAAGACCACAGTCTTCAGTATGGGTTGTATATCAATGTAAAGAAAACAAAAATCCTCACCACTAGACCATTAAACAACATCCACATCAATG